TGAACTAGTTTTAATCTATTTTTATTTTTCTACGTTTCATAGTTTAGGGTTACAGAGTGAACTGTGAACTGTAATTGTCCTTATTATAACTATAAATGCACTCTTATAGTTGGAGAAAAACCGTCTAAAAAAAAAGGTTATTGCTCACATTCACATCCTGTCCTTTCCAACTGATTTGTTTGCTTGCAACAAAATTTTCTTTATAAGATAATCGGTTTTTCGAAGGTCCAACAGTCACTCTTGGCACAACATGAATTCTGTTTTCCTTTGTGCATTAATCAGTAAAACAGCTTGTCTATTTTAGTAAAGCCAGTCAATCAAGAAGCTTTCAGAAAACATAACAAAAACCCCTTAAAGTTAATTAAAATGTCTAAATTCTCTGCCTCAGTTCTTTCATTTGAACCAGCATAACCCTGAGTACATGGGCTCATTTACTCAAACACAAATGGGAAATAATTTTCAACTAGTAAAGCAGGGAATAGACTGTATTAATTTTTTGCCCTTTTTGGGCCGATTTTCCATTCGTGCGAGAATTTTTCGATCTTTCAGCCTGATTGTGCATCATGTAGTGTACAGGCAGTAACGAGGGGCGATCAGCCTCACATGACGACCTCCCGGTTAGGAATCGTAAGGTCGGGAGAAAATCAAACATGTTTGAAATTCAGTCGGCCGTCGTAAGGTGGTCGTGGGCAAATCGCTCCGTGGAAATACACAAACAAGGATTCTTCTTCTTCCTCTCAGATAAAAACCCAGCAGCATGGCGGGGGTGCGATGAGTGAAATGGAGTTATTTCTGTAAAATTGACAGACCGTAGTAGCCCTGTTTGCTCAGCCATGTCTTTGTCCAAATACGTCGTCGCCTTTTCATTTTAGGGCTTTCAGCACTAAATTGCACAAATTGCCAAGGCAGCGCGTTTCACTCTAGTGAGCTTCATGTTCCTCTTCTAATCGTTTGGCTTCCGGATGGAAGAGCCCGAGTAGCGCCATCTCAACATGGAGCTGAGTCCCATGTGCTTTTTAGACGTACTGTAGAGTGTGAGCAGGTAGTGTCATGGTTTTGGTTATGTTGGCGTTCAAGAAAGGCCTCAAGACATTTTTATTTAAAATGGCCGTTGAACATTAGTTAGTATTTTATCTGTGTGGTTTTATGGTTATTTTACTGTTTTGTTTTTACTACGTATGTTATTTTATTGTAATGTCTCATTTTATCTATGTATGCTGTTTTTATTGTACGGTTTTGTTTTAACTATGAATTTTGTAGCGCTTCGAGATTTTTTTAAATGTAAAGTGCAATACAAATAAAATGTATTATTATTATTATTATGTTATGCTTTACTTTGCTCCTTGTTTTCTAGTTTTTATTGGTTTAATTCCTATTTTGCTGTAATTTCTAGATTTATGTTAGTTCTCATGTTGTCCTCTGTTGCCCTCTTGTGTGTGTGTTTTCCTTTCCCCTTGGCTCCCTTGTTGTCTCCCCTCACACCTGCTCCTTGTCAGCTCGTTAGCCCTCCCTTTGTCTCTGTCAGCTATATATGCTCTCCCTCTGCTCTCACTCTTTGTTGGTTCCTCTGTCGTTGCTGGTCCTGTCATCGCTGCAATCGTCTCCCCTCGTCTCTCCCTGGCTCCTTCTACGTGTTTTCCCTTGATGTCTCCATGGTTCTGGTCTGTTACTTTTTAGTTGGATTTTTGGACTGCCTTTGTTAACCATTTTCATAATTAAACTACAAGTATTCACCTCAGCCTCTCTGCCTCTGCATTTGGGTCCTCCAAACCACAACCAAGACGTTGGGTCGCACATTGTGAGAGCAAACATTGTGAGCTGTGAACTTTTAAACCCTGCGGTTTCATCGTACGGTGTGAGCTGTAGCTGCGTGCAATGAATGAAAAACAGCGTATGCCCCGCTTTAGGTACATTTTTTTTCTCTTGTTTCAGCGTCAGCCTCACAATCCTTTGTTTTCTTTACTGGTTTAATTTACATTTCACCTTTGGATTTGTAACCTGGAGATTATGGACTTTTTAAGTATCTAGTTAAAGTTTAATGTGTTGATGGGATTACAGATGAATGCCACTGGCTATTTTAAGGTTTATTACAGCTATTTTTTAGTTGAAAGAACAGAAAACCAGCTTTTTAACTAAGTTGGAAAAGTAGTTTTCTTACATGGCCATCAATGGCTATATGGAACGAAATGTTGGCTCTAGGCTCCATACACTGGTGTGGGAGAACTAGTCAAGTGTGCAGAAACATGTCTGTGTTAAAGGAATAGTACACCCAAAACATGATTAGCCTTCATTTTCTACTCACCCCCATGCTGAACAACACTCTGGAGTACTTTTTTGATATCTCAAATGCATCTGGAGATCTGGGAGGCTTCTTGCTGTCTGCTGACATTCAAATAATGGAGGTCTATGGCGCCCGAGACAGAAAGGTCCTTAAAAGTCCACAAAAAACGTGTCAATATTCCTCCATACTGCTCGTCCAATGTATTCCAAGTGTCCTGAGTGGGTAGCGTCCATAATTTACTCGAAACGAAGTCATTTAGAATGTTTTTAGAGCCTAGACAGTAGTGTATAGGATTTCCTGAAAGCGCGTTCACGAGTCTACGGAAACCGCGGCAGACCAAACCAGATGAAAGTGCGCATTCAGCTCGGCAAAGAACTCATGCTCTTCCTCAACACTGAAGTCCTCAGACATTTTTCTTTCGTTGTTTCTTTCTTTGCACAGGTAAACAGCACATCTCTTCTTCTACGCTTGCATTATCGGCAGAGCAGACGCTGAATGCGCACTTTCGTCTGGTTTGGTCTGCCGCGGTTTCCGTAGACTCGTGAACGCGTTCTTGTTAAAAAAAAAGTCAACATAGAAACCAAGGGTATTGAAGAAAACAACACAGCAAAGCTGACCCCAATTATCCTTCTTGTAGAATAATTTTATGATGTGAGGAATGCAGTCTGCCACCTCTCAGAGCCACAAAGTACTGGCCTTACTTCTGCAGGGGGTGAAGCTTGTTTGATGCAACAATCACTGCTGCTCTGAAGAAATCTCTCTGACCAAAGTCTGTCACTGTTTTAGGAATGAGGTTTTAGACAATTTCCGCTTATGTTCATTTGCATATGATCACAGAGAGAAGGATACACAACAGATAAGACTACAAATAAAAAGGAGCTGGTAATATCACGCTGTGTTTGCTGTCTCTGCAGAAATGAGAATAAAATCTCATCATTACTCTGATCAAGGACATCGTGACTCGAGTCTTTGTGACAGCATGAAGCTCTGCGTTTATGATGAGACAGAATTGCTTTATGTGTGACCCTGAGAACTGATTCACCAAACAACAAAAAGCTGCAATAAAGATAAATCTAAAAAGCTGCGATGCACAAACAAAGATAAGCCAAGAATCTCTTCGCCTCCTCCCTACGTTCTCCCATCAGGTCGCACCACTGGATTCTGTCTGTGTCACAAACCCTGAGTGTTCACTATTAGACTCATCTAGGACACATAAGCTTTTAACCTTGACCAGTCATCTTAGTTAAGTGCCAGATATTAAAAAACATAGGAACTAAAAAGCAGTACTCACACATGTACAGGGAGAGCATGTAAAAACCCCGCCTAAATGTGGATTTTCTGTTTACCAAAGTTCACCAAAATATGTTGCTTTTTTTAAGACTGAGGAAATTATTGAGTCTGTGAATGACAGTAATCATCAAACTGAACATCTTCATATTCAATATGCCAAACTGGTTTCCTTTCCAGGTGAATCCTAAAGCATAAAGTGTTTGATTAAAATAACAAAGCTTAAAGTCATAACCAGGGTTTTTAGGGTGCTTAAAAAAAGCATGATATTCCACCCTTTATTCAGTGAAGTACTTTATGAACCCTATATGTCATATATAACTCTCATAATACTTTGTACACCAAGATGAAATTCTGAATTGTGTGAAAAGCGTGAAAGGAGCATTTTTATCTCTTATTGTTAATTAATTTCACCATTTTAGTTTTATCACATGCCTAGATATAGAATTTGACTTGGTGGAAATTGCTGTAAAATGTTATGTTAATAAGATAAATTCTATTGAACTGACAATAAAAAGTAGATCCAGATCAGGGGTCGCCAATGCGGTGCCCGCGGGCACCAAGGGGCCCCAAGGACCACATGGGGTGCCCTCTTCGTCTTCTGAAAACAGCAACTCAGCAGTGGGCTAAGTTTGAAATGTTATTTTATTCTGTGACTCTTCTTTTTAATCATTTATAGAGCATTTCATCATAGTAATCATATAGGGCATTTAGAGATTTTAAAATTATAATGTTTAAAGGAAAATTTGAAATTAAAAGTGAACAATAAAAATGTGTTTAATTTGGATAAAATTTAGGTGAACGTTGACCCCTCTTGTTCAAAGGTCAATATTGGTTGCCCTTCCTATGATTCGATAGCCATGACGTAGCCCTCAGCCTTGAAATGGTTGGTGACCCCTGATCTAGATCATTTTAGGTAGAATAAAAAACAGAAAACAAATAAATAACCGAATCATTATATAAAATAAGTTGTCACCCTTAAGACCGTACACAACCTATAACTGATCACACCAATACTTCATATCCGAACATCACACTAGCTGTTCTTCATTTTCTAAAGTGGTCAAACAGTCATAAACAGCTACAACCCCTTACAAAAAATAAAAAAAACAACAACAAATCAATTAAATTAAATAAACTTGAGATTAATGCCATCAGATCTTTTGGTGTCAGAGAGGAAAACGCTGACTTGTTTGGTGCAACCTGTTACCACAGCCTGCTGCTGTGCAGAGAGCTGTCCGTGGTGCTGAACACAAAGACCTGCTCTAACAGCTGATCGTCTCAATACAACCCATCAGGATTAAAATGAAACAGAAAATCTATTTACTTCAGATCCGTGTCTAGACACAGTAAAACATTCAGTTAGTCTTTTTATTTGTTGTTCTTTTGTTTCTGCTAAAAACAAACTCAGCTGCTTGAAGGTTTTACTTACACAAAAACTCCAAAGAGCAGAACTCGGATGCCAATCTCCAAAGCCAGCTCCCGCATGTTTTTCCTCCGCTCTGCAGGCGATACATTCATTGTTTTCTCTTTAAAGAAAAGGGAATAAATCCGTGAAGTGAACTAAACAAAGACAACCGCAGTCACTTCTGCGGGTTTGTCACGTTTATAATCCAAGGCACCAGCACTCCCACTGACGATGAATCCTAATCATGCATGCCGCGCTTCTCCATTGCAATTCGGTCACCTGAAGCTGTCTCTCTCCTCCGCCCCCTCTGCTTTTCCTCAGACCACCTCAGTCCCCTCTGCAGTCTGCTTTATTATAACTCTGTTTCTGACAAACCGCTCCTTTAACTACTTTCTGTGGGTTGGTGCGCGAGGAGCAGAGGAAAACGTAAAATATGAGAAACGGATCAGTTGTTGGATGAAACTGAGAGGGGGAGCCCTCCCTCTCCCTCCGCCCTCCTCCTACCCCCCTCCTCAACATATTCTCTCACTCTCTCTCTCTCTCTCTCTCTCTCTCTCTCTCTCTCTCTCTCTCTCGCTTTGCATGTCTTCGCCTTTACTTGTAAGGATCAGACGAGAAGAAGCTTTGCAGAGGCGTAGCTGGAAAATTTTTATAAGGGTGGCCAGGCAATAACCAATGTTCACTGAGGGGTGGCCAAAAAGTGGATAGGCACCACAACCTCAGGGTCAATCAACACTGTTCCAACAGGAAAAAGCACAACATCCATATTCCTAACTAAAGACAAACTATAGTTTCCTACAGCCTTTGCTAACAAATAGATGCATATATTTAAACATCCGTCTAGATAAAAGGTATAGTGGATAAAATTCTTTGAGGTTTGAGTTCTGGAACGAACATCTTTTCCATCGTCATTACTTACCTACTTTTCATCAATATTCTACTTTAAATTGGTATTTACAAGTACTAATAACTACATAAATTGATAATTTAATAGTTTTTTGTTATTATTTATTATTTACAGTATCGATGATTTCACTGAAGACTCTTAGATGACTTGCAGACATCATTTTCTTTTTTACGGCATATAACACAAAAGCTAGTTCTGAAAGGGCATGAATTCTGTAGTAATCATCTCTAATGTTGGTATATTGATGTGCATAATTAACCACAGTGGTTTTGTTGTCAAGTAATTGTTAATATATATAAAATTAAAATGTTTTTAATATTCTACTTGAGAGAAAAAAATAGTAGGGGTGGCCAATGATTGGCTATGGGTGGGCATGGCCACCCCTGGCCCCCCATCTGGCCCCGCCCCTGAAGCTTTGGACTTCACAGAAATTCCCAATATGTTCAGTGAACATTAATCCCGTATTTTAAAATTTTCTGAAAATGTTTGAATATTTGTGACCCCGCCCATGAGAACCCGGCTAAAGTCGCAACGTCTAATTATTTAATAAAGGTCGTCAAAGCTGTCATATCGATAAAAATGTCAAAATTGTGCTATATGAGATTATTGCTGTAAATGATAGATTAAGTACTGAGGTTTATGGATGGCTTGTTTAAAAGTCAATTTCTAACATGATAAATAGCGTATTTTGTGATTTTATAAACCAACTACTGTTGCGGCGAACGCCCATTTTGTTTACATCAGCTGTTTAAGCGTGAGCGCGCAGTTTACCTGTGTGCAATCAATCAGTCAATCAAAAGGTGAGACAAACTTCCTAGTTCAAGCAGAGGATCGCAGCATGAAAATAAAAAGCCCCCGTTTACTCGGGCAGTGGAAGAAGCTGTGCAAAATGTGTATTAAGGAAGCAAAGGACTGAACAGACAGCCGGTAAGCTTGCATTTCTGTTGTGAAAAGAATGTATGCGCCGCGCTGATGAGGCGTTGAGACGTGCGGGAAATGTTTGTTTGTAGTTTTAAGCTTATAAATACTCACACGGTACGTCATGAAAATTTTGGCTTGTAAGTCTTGCTTGCTTGCTTTATTTGGTTGGAAAAAATGCTGGTGTAACTTTTTTTTTTCAGTGATTTAACATTGCGGTTGAACAATCCAAATTAATGTGTTTGTGAAACTGTTGCACGGGGTAATTTTTGCATCTTTCTTCTGTGTGTGATTAAAATAGACTTCTAACAGTTAAAATGAAATTTGATAGTCTATGTTATGCATATTTAAAACAAAATAAAAATCACTCACTGGTTATTTATTATTGCTATTTAAGAATTCATGTAAGCTATGGAGTTAAATAACCTCCATAAATCTGCTTCGGTTAAAATGCGTTAATACGTTTTTTGATGCATTTTTTATGATAATTAAAAACTAAATGGTCTTAATTTAAAGTTAAAAACATAGTCTATTTTCATAAATATATTTAATGTTGCATTTCTCAGAACTATTACAATTTGCTATATGGTAAATGCTTTGTTTGGTTTCATTTCTTTCAAAGGTTTTTCACCTGCTTAATTAAATGATTCTGTAAACCTGTAAACAACACAAGAAGAAGAATAAAAAAGGGAAAAATGAAACAACAGTTTGGTCATTGAGTGGAATCCAGTTTAATGTTCAGCTTAATACAACCCTTCAAGTGTGGGAATAGCACAGCAAAGATCAAATCACTTGACAACTACTACTACTACTAATAATAATAATAATAATAATAATGATGAAATAACATGACTACATGATCTGATAGTAACATCATGGTATTGTGTTATGCAACTGCTTACATAATCAGCTTCATCTGGTACCACCTAGACATTCATTTAGTGTAATTTGTATGCTTTTTCGCCATGATCATCATACTAAATAGATCCATTTTTATTAAACATGAACATTTTTATATACATCTGTTGGATATTACTTGAAAAAGCAGAATCTAAACTTGAATTTGGTGTATGACACACTGCCAGGATAATTGTGATTCCAAGATGCATCAGTGTTGAAAGTATTTTTAGTTTAGAATTTTGAGTTCCAAATCTTTACATTGGAATTTCTCAAAAGTCAGTTTTTCTGAACCCGTATGCAGCACAATCTTTGATATGGCCCTACTCTGTGAATTTTAGAGATATCAATCTGAATTTTTCAGAATACATTCTTAACATTGTGTAGAATGTTTTTATACATTAAGTTGAGATTCACCAAAAAATGACTTTAGCTGGGTTTTCATAGGCAGGGTTTGGTCTTTAAAACGGATGATATGATAATACAGCAAACAGGCATCATAATTGGATCCAATAAGCTTTGCTTCAGCCTATTCCTTTTTTTTTTTTTTTTTTTGGTAAATTGTTTGTTTTGTTTTGATGTCGTTTTGTTGTTTAATGTTGGATTTTTTGCTAAAAAAATAAAGTAAAAGTGAAGTAAAAGTGAAATCTGCTTTGGATTTCCCCATGGTTACATCAAAAGAGTAAATCTAGACTAAAATGTTCAGTCCTCTTCCAAATAATAAGGTCTTCATGGATACAATATAGAGTTAATTAAAAAAAAAGATTGAAAAAATTGCCTATAACATATTTTAAACTAAAAGGTTTGATCCTTGTTATGCAAATAACAATTTCCACTAATAGATGAAAGAGCTTTAAACATTTGAAAAATGTTGTGACTTATGTAAATAATTTAACTGACTATTGAATATTAATAGTAAACTTTGTGGAGTATATTTCCTTTTAGGAGGTGTATGTTCCGTTTGTTCTCTGTAATAAAATGTAAGTTTAGATGACACATTCTTACAAAAGTCCTACATCTAAACACATTTTGGTTAAGAATAAATTAGGGCTTAAATTAATGCATAAATTGGCTTTATTCAAGACTTTCTCAACTCTACAGAGTTTGTCATTTGTGTTGTAGATGAGTGTCTCTGTTTAACAACATCCCTGCATCCCTTCAAGTGCTGCAGATGCCATCAAGTAAACCATTCATGTGAGTCTATCTATCTATCTATCTATCTATCTATCTATCTATCTATCTATCTATCTATCTATCTATCTATCTATCTATCTATCTATCTATCTATCTATCTATCTATCTATCTATCTATCTATCTATCTATCTATCTATCTATCTATCTATCTATCTATCTATCTATCTATCTATCTATCTATCTATCTATCTATCTATCTATCTATCTATCTATCTATCTATCTATCTATCTATCTATCTATCTATCTATCTATCTATCTATCTATCTATCTATCTATCTATCTATCTATCTATCTATCTATCTATCTATCTATCTATCTATCTATCTATCTATCTATCTATCTATCTATCTATCTATCTATCTATCTATCTATCTATCTATCTATCTATCTATCTATCTATCTATCTATCTATCTATCTATCTATCTATCTATCTATCTATCTATCTATCTATCTATCTATCTATCTATCTATCTATCTATCTATCTATCTATCTATCTATCTATCTATCTATCTATCTATCTATCTATCTATCTATCTATCTATCTATCTATCTATCTATCTATCTATCTATCTATCTATCTATCTATCTATCTATCTATCTATCTATCTATCTATCTATCTATCTATCTATCTATCTATCTATCTATCTATCTATCTATCTATCTATCTATCTATCTATCTATCTATCTATCTATCTATCTATCTATCTATCTATCTATCTATCTATCTATCTATCTATCTATCTATCTATCTATCTATCTATCTATCTATCTATCTATCTATCTATCTATCTATCTATCTATCTATCTATCTATCTATCTATCTATCTATCTATCTATCTATCTATCTATCTATCTATCTATCTATCTATCTATCTATCTATCTATCTATCTATCTATCTATCTATCTATCTATCTATCTATCTATCTATCTATCTATCTATCTATCTATCTATCTATCTATCTATCTATCTATCTATCTATCTATCTATCTATCTATCTATCTATCTATCTATCTATCTATCTATCTATCTATCTATCTATCTATCTATCTATCTATCTATCTATCTATCTATCTATCTATCTATCTATCTATCTATCTATCTATCTATCTATCTATCTATCTATCTATCTATCTATCTATCTATCTATCTATCTATCTATCTATCTATCTATCTATCTATCTATCTATCTATCTATCTATCTATCTATCTATCTATCTATCTATCTATCTATCTATCTATCTATCTATCTATCTATCTATCTATCTATCTATCTATCTATCTATCTATCTATCTATCTATCTATCTATCTATCTATCTATCTATCTATCTATCTATCTATCTATCTATCTATCTATCTATCTATCTATCTATCTATCTATCTATCTATCTATCTATCTATCTATCTATCTATCTATCTATCTATCTATCTATCTATCTATCTATCTATCTATCTATCTATCTATCTATCTATCTATCTATCTATCTATCTATCTATCTATCTATCTATCTATCTATCTATCTATCTATCTATCTATC